TCATGTGAGCAGATTTCTTCCACCTTGCCCCCGAGTGTGGAGGGTGATCCTTGGTTAGGGTTGAATCAGAGAAAAATACTATAGGCTCAAAAGGGGACACAAGGGATATATATTTTCTCTTGTTGTGAAGCGATAAAGAAATAAAGACGTTCATCATTTCATACATGGAAGTCTTCACAGAATAGGTATCCCCAGGGGGATAGATTTTCAGGATTAATTTTATTCACATGAAAACAATGTAATTAATGCATGATAGAATTATTTAGAACGAATTCTTCTTTTTTCTTCTTGCTCTCAACATGTCTCAATGTTCAGGCTCCCTGCGAGATGCCCCAAGTTGTGTCTTAGAAGAATGCTCATGTTCAAATGAACAACTCAATGCCTTAGGTTTTAATGATATAAAAATGTCAATTTTGAGTCTAAAAAGACAATGGTGTTATTTTATTGACTCAAAGAAATTGTATGGGTATGACTCTTTGTGCATCGAAAAGATAAAGGCAATGTTCAAAAGTTTCAAAGGGTTATAATATCAAAATCTGGTCTTTTGGTAATGACCATGAGTTATATTGGGTAAAGAATCAAGATACTTTATTTTGGGGTTTTTAGGCAGGATAAGATAGGTATACTCTTGTCATATGTCAAAAATCTATAATTATTGAAGAATTAAAAGAATCCTCAATTCATTTAATATTCAAAGAACTAAAGATTAAAACTCGTTCAATTATTCCACCTTAAAAGGTAGCATAACTTCAATCATTTAAAAGATTAAGAAAATATGAAAGATCAAAAACGTGTTCAAACAAGACAATGCTCCCCAATGTAAATGGTAGATGCAATGCCCCCTTCTTTGATTGTCCATGCCCCTGAATCCATCAGGTTTTGAATCTTGTGCTTCAGTATCTTACAGTTATCAGAGGAATGTCTAGAGTTTCCCACAAAGATTCAACATCGTAGCCCTTAGGATATGGGGACTCTTTTCTCATATCATCCTGGCAGGCTGTCCTACAATCAGTTGATCATGCTCCTACTGTACTGATTTCAATTTTTTTCTTTAATTGTTAAAATCTTGCTTTTATGTGGTGTCATATGGTTAAGAACACTTCATCAAATCCTCCATGAAGAAATTTCATGTTTATGAAAATGCTTAAAAATGAAATAGATGCAAAATGCAAAAATGCATGAAATGTTCGAGGCATTGATCCGAAAACATGTATGTTATTATAAATAATCTTTATTGGGACAAAAGTGTTTTATCTTTTAAGAGACAAAAATATCAAAGGTATATTCTGATTAAATCTTCTAGACCCTGAACGGTTTCTAACAGATTGACTAGTCCTTTGTCTTTGTCTGTTATCGGTTGAATACCCTGTCGAACCGCTCTGGCTTCTCTGGCTGAACCGTGCAAGTGTTGAGTTGCCTTTTGTACTTGTTTCAAGGAGTCTCAAATGACTGCATATCTGGCTTTCATCTCTTGTTGAACCGGTTCTCGACGAGTACGTCATTGGAGCCCTCCATCGAAAGAAAATATTTGAAGTTTACTTGCTTGCTTCTTGAATTCCTCAACAATTACCTATAATTTCAGCTGTCGTTTTGTCACCCTGCTCTTGTTGTCTTTAAAGGGACTCTCCAAGTTAATAGCCTTTTTTCGCGTCTTGCCCCTGCAAATTTTGCCAACTCAAAAGGTCAACTTTTGATGTGCTCGGTGTAATTCCTGGTGTGTTTTGAGTCCTTTGCAATGCAACATAGTCGCATATTTTTTATTGCTGGTACCACGCCTTTTTGGTTGAATTGTCTTGCAAATTGTCTCCCTGACCATAGCCGTACCTCTGCGTTTTTCACCTCTTGTATTAAAACCCTTTTGTTCATTAATGCAAATTATTTAGGTTTAATGAACACGTTTCAGGTGGATCAACATCTCTTTTGAATGATGATGCAAAAGATGAAAAAAATAAAAGAGAATAAAAATGAAAAGAGTTAGTGAGGTAAAGATAAAAAACGATCATGAAAATAAAAGTCCTACCCCACATGATATCTACTCCACATGCTTACTATTCCTATCCGGACATGATCTCTATCCCGCATGCTAATTTCAAACAAATACTAACCGTATATTTGTCTAGTTCACATGCTTTGAACAAAAAGTAAAGCAGGAAACAAAGCAGTCTAAGGTTTGGATGAGGTTTTGGGGTGGGCTCTAATTCCTTGTACTCTCCCGGTTTAGGTTCTAAAAAAGGTACTCGAGTTCTCCTTGCTGGTGCACCCTTGGGCCTGCCAGACCCTTTGTCCTAAGCCCATTACAAGCTTGTATAGACTAAGTTAAACTCGAGATGATACATTCTCTTATGCCCATATGGAGAATAAATTCACACGAAAACATAAGGTATATGAATCCCGAAGGTTACTTGCTAGGCTCATACGGAGAATAAATTCTCACGAAAGCATCGCTTTCACCCCCACTTAAGACGAGTTTGGAGTTCGGGTATAGAGCTAGAGATAAAAACTTTTCAAAAATCTGAAATCGTTGAAAAAAAATGTCAGAACAAATATTTACTGGAAAAATAATCAAAGGTAAATAATTGGAATCAAATAAATAAATTAAAATTAAAATTTACTATTTTAGCCTAAAAAGACAACCGAAAATTAATTCTGGCCTGACTTACTTACCTGTCCCCAGTGGAGTCGCCAAACTGGACCCGGAATTGGGCTTCGACTTGGATTAAACGAATTGGGAGTCGCCACCGATCATTTATTTTAAGAATAAAAAGGGTTGATCGGATACCTCGATTTTTTACCTGATCTGCGTTTTACCATAAATATGTCAGGTTCGGGAGTCAATTACGGTCAATGAAGGATTAATACCCTTGAACCACCATTTCAGTACCAATTAATTTATCGGTTGCCTTTAATTACAAAAATTTAAATTTAAATTAAAACTTAAAATTCAATTTGAATTAATTACCTTTGATCGATTGAAATTACTACTGAAAAAGTTAAAAATATGTTAGATAATAAATAATAAATGAATATTAAAAAATCAAAGGGAAAAATAAAACAATAAAAAAATAAAAATTTAAAATTTAAAAACATGAAAAAGACAAACCTTTAAAAAATGCAGTTCCAAGATGGCCAGGAAATTGAAAATTGCACCATATCCATAAAGAACACAAGTTCTGATGGTAAATGCTCGCCTCAAACTGGCTCATTAAAGCATATTCATTAAAGATATATGTCATTGATGGGACAGTAAAAAAATTAAAGTGTACATGTATGCGCCTGTTGCAACCGTAAGATCAAATGAAGTAGTAACCTCTGGTAAAGATCGCAACTGGTTTATATTCCCTTCCTTTGTATTGTATTTCCGGTTGGTAGTACATCACAGGTCGTTGCCCAAGAAGCATATGCTGCCCATACTGTGGCCCACTTGGATGAAAATATACTTGAGGTGATTCCATCATTTCTACTCTCTGTTTCCTTAACTTCCTTATCGAATTCTCCAGACGAAGATGCATCAGCTCCAAAAATAGAACTGATATCATCAACAATGTTTACAGTTGAGGAAGCTTTCTTCACACTAGATGTTACTTCAGGTCCTCTCTTGTTTTGTCCATCAAACATGGGATCCAAATTGTTAGTTCTTGGCCTTGGAGCACTGCTGGGTCGAGAACCCATAAAAAAGGATTCGAGATCGTCATCATTCTTTTGCTGGCTTGCCCTCGCAGAAGCAGCTGATCTTTCCTAGCCTCAGATACTACCCTTTCATGGGCTTCAGCTTATGCTCTCTATACTGCAACTCTTTTGTTTCCCCCTTTTTATTTTCGTTTGTGCAGGCCCCACCGCCACTTCATTTCCCCAGAGCTTTGCATTGGGTCATTGGTTGAAGCAGAGTCGAAAATTAAGGTCCAGAGAGAGTGCAAAAAAACCCCTTTTCTCTAAAATGTTTCCCTTTTTTATAGGAGTATTTTGGAAGGCTTTGTGCTTCGTGTAATCAAGTTTATTAGCTTAATGTGTGGGGTAGTAAATGGTGGAGATAGTGGTGGTTGTTGGGTAGTTGAGATAATGGTGGGTGCATGAAAAAAAAAAAAATTAATTAATAATAATATAATAATAATAATAATAAATAATAAAATAAAATATTTTTGTAGACCCAGATAAAAACGGGTGTCTACATATGGTCTAAAACAATCACCTATAGCTTGGTTTGACAGATTCACGAAGGTAATATTATAAGACAACTACAAACAATGCAATACGATCACACTTTGTTTGTAAAAACTACTCCAGATAAGAAGTTTATCTTGATTGTCTACGTTGATGATATCATCATCAGTGGTGATGACTTAGTAGAAATTGAAAAGTTGAAGACTTTACTAGAAAAGGAGTTTGAAACCAAAGACTTGGGAACTCTAAGATATTTCCTAGGCATGGAGGTAGCAAGATCACGAGAAAAAATTATCATAAATCAAAGAAAACATATTCTAGACTTACTTTCTGGAACTTGAATGTCTAATTATAAGCCCTCGGAAACTCTTATGGAAGTTAACTTAAATTTGAGTAAAGATGGAAACCCGGTAAACAAGGAACATTATCAGAGGTTAGTGGGTAAACTCATTTATCTATCTCTAATTAGACCTGACATTGCTTTTCCTGTTAGCATTGTTAGTCAATACAAGAATGATCCAAGAGAAGAACACATGGAGGCAGTCAATCTAATCTTAAGATATCTAAGTATTAGGGGTGTACAAAATATCCGACCCAGTTAACCCGACTTATCGACCCAGATATGAAAAATCAGGTAATTTTCTAAAAAATTACCTGATCGGGTTGGGTATCCAACCCGACACTTTTTGGGTTGGGCCCGGGTCGAATATCCAACCCGACACTTTCGGGTTGGGCCCGTGTCACAATTTATTTTTTCGGGTTACCTGATTACCCGGTTAAGTTTTTTTATATATTTAATTATTAAAATACACCCGTCCCACCCCACCCGGTTGAAAATTGAAATCCCTAAAGGTTGCACGATACACACCACAGACCTCCACAACCACGCTGCACGCTCCACCGCTCCTTCATGGCTTCCTCTACTCACGCAGTCACGCTTGTCGCTTGGCAGTTGGCCTTGGCTCCACCGCTTCAGGCTCCAGCCAGCTCCAAGTAAGAATTAAGAACAGTCAGTCTGATTAATTTGATTAGTGTCATTTTTTGTATACATTATTTGTCTTTGCTGGTTTTCAGGCCTTAAAAGCGTTCCCAAATATATGTACCTAAGAATTAACAGCATCATAGAAATGCAGAAAATGTATAGGATGTTTTTTTCTTATATTCAATAATACACTTTTCTTTGGATTATTCATGTATTTATTTTACTTTGTATAGGTCAATTGCACAAAATAATATCACTGGACCCATTCCAAAGAACCTATATCTTCTGTAAGAATTGAAGAAAGTTTCAATAAATTCTTTTTTGTCACCATTATAATGTATAAATTAGTTCTGTTGTTAAGCAAATGTTTACTCATAAAATTGGGTTTGTTTCATGTTTCTTGAACACAAAAATCATGAAGGTCTTTGGACAATAATAATATCTTTCGAACACTGCCTCCGGAACTTGGTGATTTAGTCGAACTTGGAGAATTGTAAGTTCTAACTTTCTTTAGTTCTTTGTAGGAGAAGTTCATGATTGTGTTTACAGGTTACCCTTGAAATTAAAACAACATTTGGTTTATGAATTTGGCAGATACATTAACAATTGTGGATTGAGTGGTGAGATTCCCTCAACATTTGCTAACCTTAAAGAACTTCGAACAGTGTATGGAAGTCCCTTCTCTATGATTATTACCTTTTCTCTCTTCTGGTTCTGCAAATTGCCCTACCATAACAATGGTAAGCTCTGTTGAATTTTAGGTGGGCATCTAATATTTGATAATGCATTAACAAGCAAAATACCATAATTTTTCGGTAACTTACAAAGCTTACTACATTGTAAGTAATTCATCAAAACATATCTTCATATAAGTTCTAATCAAACATCAAGTAGGGTAACTTTGCCTAGATTTTTCATCAGTTTGATTTGTCTGTCAAATGTTTATATAGGAGATTTGAAGGGAACTCTTTTGAAGGTCCAATACTATCAAAGAGTTATTTTTCCAGATAATGCCGATGACATGAGAAAATATTTATGATATAGAGATGTTATCTTCATCAGCTAAGTCGTCTAAGGAATCCGAAAAGATTAATGTAGTTGAGACTCCAGTTAATACGAAAAACAAAAAGAAAGGGAAAAAGATTACTGAAACCGTTGAAGATAAAGGAGGCAAAAAGAAAAAAAAACTTCTTTTGTTTGGGATCATTTTAAAGCATTTGATGGTGATAAAGAACATGTCGAATGCATTAATTGTGCTCGAAAAATAAGTTGTGTAGCTGTGAATGTAACTAATGCAATGAAGCGTCATACTGCTCGGTGCAAGAAAGCCCCCTTTAACTTTGAAAAAGCACAAACAATCTTAGATTTCGAGTCCAAGACAAAGTGCAATGCTGATGGGACCATAGAGACAGATAGTGTTCCTAAATTATGGCGTTTTGATCAAGAGAATATTAGAGAAGCAATCACTAAAATGGTGATTGTTGATGAGTTACCATTTAGCTTTGCTAAACGTGAAGGATTTCGTATGTTCTGCAAGGTAGTCATTCCTGATTTTATTCCTCCTTCACGCACTACTATTACAAGAGATTGCTATGCTTTGTTTATTGAAAAAAAAGGAAGACGCTGAAGAACTTTTTCAAGAATTTGTCCTCTAGGGTATCTCTTACCACAGATACATGGACATCTGGTTAGAATTTGTCATATATGTGTCTTACTGCCCATTTCATAGATGATACTTGGAAATTGCAACAAATGATCATCAACTTTTGTCCAATTGATGGTCATTCTGGGGAACATATTGGCAGAGCCGTTGAAAAATGTCTACTAGATTGGGGTCTGAAGAGAATCTTGACGGTAACCGTTGATAATAACAGTTCAAATGATCCAGTGGTCAAGTATTTGAAACAAATTGTTAACTTGTGGGATGGAAGCTTGTTGGATGCTCAATTTTTGCATATGAGATGTGTTACCCATATTCTGAATTTGGTTGTTAAAGATGGGTTGAAGGATGTTGATGATTTTATTATGAAAGTTCGTGTTGTTGTGAAATATGTGAGGTCTTCCCCTGTAAGGCTACAAAAGTTTCGATCTTGTGTTAAAGAAGAAAATATAAACAACAAAACTCTTGTTTGCTTGGACATTGAAACAAGGTGGAATTCCACCTATTGCATGCTCAAGAGTACTTTAGTGTTTAGAAATGCATTCAAATATATGAAAACGAAGTGTGTTCCTTACTCCTGAAAATGAGAATTGGGACAGTCACTGCTTTCTTGCCTTTTCTTAAGATCTTTTATGAGGCTACATTGAGCTTCTCTGGATCAAGGTATGTGACCGATAATAATTTTGTGGAAGAAATATTTGACATTAGATATACGATCATTATCTTGATGACTCAAATGTTAGGCTTCAGAGTATGGCACGCCAAATGAAGAATTAAATTTGACAAGTGTGGGCAAATGTTAACAATGTGAATGTGTTGATGTTCATTGCTTTAGTTTTTTATTCTAGGCATAAGATATGTTGAGTGGATTGTTCGTCGTTCTTATGATCTTAGCAGCTCCTTTGAGTTGTGTCAACGAATTAAAAAAAACTATGAAAGAATATCGTATTACTTGAAAAGTGGACTTCGAAATTCTTAATAGAGATCTAATTGTACACCCGATTTTATTCCTCGCTATTAGGTTAAGATGCAGCTATTTACAATTGACCAGTATAATGTCTCACTATTTCATGTTAAACTCTTCTAATATTGTAGTTTGTGCTAAATTATCTCTTTCCTTGTAATAAAGAATGAATGGCCATTCAAATTCTTAATTTGTACTTTATCTCACATGTATCATATAAAGTATACCTATGTATTGCTTATTGAATTTCATTCCTATTAATGAAATTTTATTTTGTTAAAACATAATTCAATTATAATTTTTTTTCATACTTGAGAATAAAAACTAGAGAAAATCGCCTCAGTGACCAAAAAAAAGTTATAATATACGATTTTAACCAACTTTTTTTGGATTTGCCAAAATGACCAACAAATTCGCAACGCGAAATAAAAATCGCAACGCGATCCCCAGAATCGCAAATCAGTTTCCAAAATCGCAACGCGATTCTTGAAAATCGCGATGCGATAGTACAAATTCGCATTGCGATTTTCCATAATCGCAACGCGAATATGAAAATCGCAACGCGAACACATAAATCGCAACGCGTATCCGTAAATCGCAACGTGTATCCGTAAATCGTAACGCGTATGGGTAAATCGCAATGCGTATCCGTATATCGCAACGCGTATCCGTAAATCGCAACGCGTATCCGTAAACCGCAACGTGTATCCGTAAATCGCAACGCGTATCCGTAAATCGCAATGCGTATCCGTAAATCGCAACGCGTATCCGTAAATCGCAACGATAATCCGTAAATCGCAACGCGTATCCGTAAATCGCAACGATAATCCGTAAATCGCAACGAGAATCTGTAAATCGCAACGATAATCCGTAAATCGCAACGAGAATCTGTAAATCACAACACTGAAATTTGGGTATATAACACTGAAATCATAAACTAAATCCTAAATCGCAACTCATTCCATCTCCATCTATCACTCTCTCCGGCGACATCCGTTCCTATATCCAACGACATCCTTCCAATCCGGCAATAGGTTTTAGTTTCGCAGCTCGTCTGTTTAGTAAATTAATTTACAACCATGAAATCATCTAATGTTGATCATGTTTGGATAGATTTGTGTTTTGGAGGGTCATGGGATAATGTTCATGGTGTTTTACAATATATGCCTTTACCCATGAATCTTCAACTAAAATTGTCTTTACAAAAGTTAACTTATGAAACTCTAATGCTACGTGTTTCAAATAAATTGAATTTAGAGCCCTAAGTGGATTTAGGCTATCTTATCAGAGAAATGATAAAGTTTATTTGTTAACCGACAATGAAGATGTTGAACGATTCATTGCTTACATTAGTGTTTCACAAGATGATGTTACATTGTATGTTGTTGAACCTAGAAGTAGTATTGTTGGGTCAGTAGCGGGTAATAATCAACTAAGTTTTTCTCAAAACCCACAACCTTTCTCTAATCCAAATCCAATCAACTTTCAGCACCAAATTCCGGTTTTTCGTATTGACCAGTTAGACGATGATGAGCCAACAGAAAAAATTGTGAGTACTAGTCAGTATTCGAAATTTGGTCTTGGTCAATATCCGGACTTTGATATTGGTCAATACACGGATTTTGATGATGTTTCAGAAGAAGAAACAGACCATGCGTGTAATGATATTGATATTGGTCAATACCCGAATTTTGATGATGAAACAGCCGTTGCCGAAGAATGTAATGTTGATGATAATGAGGAGGAAGTTACGACTGTGAATGAACATGTTGAACATCCATTCTGTAATTCATATAATCCTGAAGAAGAAAAAGAAGAAGAAAAAGTCCCCGAAGAAAAGAAAATGCCACGGGCGTATAACTGGAATATGCCAGAATTACTTCAGATACCGGAAGAAGAGTTGATAAAGAAAGCAGTTGATTGTTACACAAAAGTTATTCGTATCAAGAAAGATGATTGTTTTGATACAAAGGAAGACTTGAAGATAGCTTTATATACGAAATGTGTGGAAGATGGCTATCAACTAAAAGTTAACAAATCAAGCAAATATCGTTTCGAAACAAGGTGTATGATTGACAAAAACTGTACGTGGCGTATGATTGCAAAGAGAATAAAAGATTGCAAAATGTTTCAAGTTAGGACTTTTATTGATAAACATACATGTTCAAGAACCCAAGTTTTTCCTCACCATAGACAGGCAAACAAAAAGGTGTTGGGTGGTTTTCTGGCTGAGTTAATGTTTTTGAATGGCAGGGTATATCGGGGACATGAAATTATGACTGACATGAATGCTCGGTTCAAGATTAGTATATCATATTCTCAAGCTTGGAGAGCCAAATGTTATGCCTTGGAATTGTTGAGGGGGTCGCCAGAAGCATCGTTGCCCAACTGCCGGCTTATTGTCACAATTTAAAGCTGAAAAATCCTGGGTCGGTAACTCATATCAAAACAGATAGAGATGGACGCTTTGAGTTGCTGTTTATCGCCATTGGTGCTACGGTTAGTAAATCAATATAATTTTGTTGACTCATTTTTGTTAGTTACATGCATTTCACATTTAAATGATTATATTTCTTGTGTATATTATTTTGTAGATTCGTTCGTTTATTACTTGCATGCGCCCAGTTATTATAGTTGACGGAGCACATTTGAAAGGTCGATACCTTGGAGTAAACTTATTAGCAGTAGCCATGGATGCTAACAATGGGATATTGCCAATAGCTTACGGGGTTGGCAAATCTGAAACCTCTGATTCATGGACATGGTTTATGGGGCATCTTAGGGATTGCATAGGTCCTATTAGCAATCTGACAATCATATCCGATAGGGCAAACTCAATTGACAACGCTGTTAGAAGGTGTTTCCCAGA